CTCTCTGATGTATCTTATCTATCTATCTTTTTTTTTTTCCTCTCTTCTCTCTCTCTCTCTCTCTCTCTCTCTCTCTATTATATAACGCATCTAGTCAAACAACAAAGTTTCCTCTGAAAAAAAAACATTATTATTATTATCAAATTATTATTATAAGATGATTATTTTGCAAACAAAAAAAAAATCAAATCAAATAATTTTATTCAATTAAAAAAAATTTCATTAATTTTCCAAATAATGTGTGTCACTGATTCATCAGATGTCGCTTGATTCGAAACATGAAACAAAAAAATTCGGTGTTGGCATTTCGTTGTTCGTTTTGAGAATAGAAATGAGGATTGGGCGTCCGATTATTATGATGTTTTTTTTTATTTCCAATGAAAAGTTGTCATGGTTTTGGGGAAGAGAAAGAATAATGATGATTTGAATATTGGTTGGTGCAACAGCTATCATAATCCGTCATTATTATTCGTCATCAAAGATCAATTAATCGAACCATTTCAATGATTGATTGATTGATTGAATGGATGCAAATAAAAAAAACTGAACTTTTTTTTTGTTCTGTTTCGAAGCAAACAACAAGATTCCAATCGATATTATTATTATCAATGAACCAAAAAAACAAAAACAAAAAAAATATTGATCAAAATCATTGTCGTTATGATTTTGATCAAAATGATGATCATGATCATCATTTGTTTGTTTGGTTATTTGGTTGTTGTCGTTTTATTATTATTTGTATATTCATTTGGTTTTTTGTTTTTGTTTTTTTTGATTTTTGATTTTCGATCTTTAATTGACCATCAGAAGAAGAAGAAAATTGACAATCGTGATCATCATCTTTCTGATTCTTGATTTTTGGGAATTAATCGACTAACTTGGCTAAAAGAATGGACGAAGAAATTATTATGAATGGATTACATCGTTTTTTACGTGATATTAATCTAGAATTATTGAAAATGAGAAGAATATATAATATATTGGAAATGGATGAACTATTAAGTGAAATTGATCGTGAACAACTTGAACGTTGTTTAAGTAATTGTTGTACATTATTTCAATTATGGTCACCATTAAATGAAATGATTTGTTTGATTGAAGATGCAAATCCTGAAATGATTAATTTACAACGTACAGTGAATAGAAAACTAAGGAAAATTGTTCGTTTATCACAATCGATTAATGAAATTTTGGCACAAACTGTTTTACGTATTAATGCACAAATATTTTCAAATTTTCATAATAATAATTGACGAATGTTAATCATAACAATGATCATACTTTATGAATTGCCCATCATCATCATGATAATAAACCAATTGAATGAATAAATTCTTTTCCTTTTTTCTTATTCTTGATATTTTTGTTTTAAAAAATTCAAATTCGTTTTTTGTATACGTGTAACCCAGAAAAAATATTAGATTGATTTTGTAATCAAGTAGATACTGTTAATCTATTACAAAAAAAAACTTTTTCTTTTCTTTTTTTTTGTTGAAAAAATTTAAATAAAAATCATTAGTTTTTTCCATGGTAACCAGTGATTTGGTGATTCATATCGAAAACATCATTTTTCCTGATTCGCGAATCTATGACGATCAACCAACTCAACTTGGAAAAAGTGGTCGGTTCATCGTCGTTCATTCATTCATTCACCACCAACTGTTGATCGGCATATCCCAATTTTGAATTTTCAAATTTTCAAATAGTTTTGTTGTTTGTGCGTAATAGTTTTTCTCGTCATCTATCATTGCATTTCTCACATTTCATTGAGCATCTTCATCCGAATAGCCAAAGCGAAAAAAAAACAATGGAACGAGAACAAATTTCCAATCAATTATATCGATTATATCGTGATATAGATCGTGCATTNACGTTGTTTAAGTAATTGTTGTACATTATTTCAATTATGGTCACCATTAAATGAAATGATTTGTTTGATTGAAGATGCAAATCCTGAAATGATTAATTTACAACGTACAGTTAATAGAAAATTAAGAAAAATTGTTCGTTTATCACAATCGATTAATGAAATTTTGGCACAAACTGTTTTACGTATTAATGCACAAATTTTTTCAAATTATCATAATAATAATTGAAACAAATAACCATACATACTTTATGAATTGCCCATCATCATCATCATCATCATCATTGATTATTATTATTATTATAATAAACAAGTTGAATGAATAAATTCCTTTTCCTTTTTTTTTCTTTCTTTCTTACTATTCTTGATATCCTTTTTGTTTTTTTTTTTTGACAAAAAAAAATCAAATTTGTTACCCAGAAATATTAGATTGATTTGTAATCAAGTAGATTATCTATTGCAAACAAAAAAACTTTTTCTTTTTTGTTGAAAAAATTTAAATAAAGATCATTAGTTTTTCCATGGTAACCAGTGATTTGGTGATTCATATCTTTTTTTTCTTTTTTTTTGTTCAAAACATCATTTTTCCTGATTCACGAATCTATGACGATCAACCAACTAAACTTGGAAAAAAAAACGGTCGGTTCATCGTCGGTTCATCGTCATTCATTCATTCACCACCAACTGTTGATCAGCATATCCCAATTTTGAATTTTCAAATTTTCGAATAGTTTGTTGTTTGTGCGCAATAGTTTTTCTCTTGTCATCTATCATTGCATTTCTCACATTTCATTGAACATCTTCATCCGAATAGCCAAAGCGAAAAAAAAACAATGGAACGAGAACAAATTTCCAATCAATTATATCGATTATATCGTGATATAGATCGTGCATTAACAACCGTTAGTGTTTTATTGCTTGCCGTACGAATGCAACAACGAATCACTACATTTCATATTCATTATTTAGATTTAATTAAACAAGCAATGGATTCATTTAATCGACGTAAATTAATATTAGATTGTTTGTTGGAAAGATATCCAATCGATGAATCAAACTTGGAAATGAATCAAATTCGACGAACAATCAATATTAATTGGCATGCTACTATACATATTATTCAAACTATTGATCAAATAATGGCCGAACAGCAACAAAATCGGACAACATAAATAAAAAATTATATTTCATCATTTGATGAAACATCAATGGACGATCAATGTCCAAATCAATTACAACAAAAAAAAAATATCGATTACACAAAAATCAATTTGGCCTTCAAACCAATATACCAACCAAATTGATTTTTTTTGTTTTATCTTTAATTATTTGATAAATAAAAATTTCCTTTTTTAAAAAAAAAAACAAAAAAATCTTAATTAAAATTTATCATTGTTGTTGTTGTTGTCTTCGTTGTTGGGCAAATGATGATGATGATAATAATAAACACTTGAGTGATGGCAAAAATACACATTTTTTGATGAGTACTCGATTGACATAAATGGTAATGTGTATATAAACAGGTAATTTGATCCATTTTCCATCATACATCCACCTTACACATTCTCTTACCTGATTGAATCATTGAATAATTCCTGTTTTGAACTAGCTGAGAAAAACCTGTGTTTTTTTGTTTGAAAAAAATGGCAAAATTATTGTTTACCACTATTTTGATAATATCAATGGCCGCTGTCTTCGTATACAGTGCAAGTATTGTTGGTGATTTTCGAAAATTGGACGTAAATGATGAACAACTTCATCAATCATTATCACATTTGGAAAGACAAATGGATAATCGTATCAATTCAAATACTGTACATCGTATTGCTAAAATACGTAATGCTGAATATAAAGTTGTTTCCGGTATTGAATATCGTGCTTTGTTTGAATTTGGTGAAACTGATTGTCAAAAATCCGATCATCGTGATATTGAATCATGTCAATTTACTGGTTATAATTTAATCTGTAATGCAACAACTATTGAACAATCTTGGTTACATAAAAGTTCATTGATTGATTTTTTTTGTGAAAATTAATTATATTTGAAAACAGAACAAAAATTTTTATAATCCATATCCATTTTTCAATAATTATAATCCCCAATATATATGATTTACTTAATAATCCCCGAAATAAAGACTTATAAAATATATTTTTTTAAAAAATGCCTTTTTACTTTCACAAAATAAAAGAAAGATGTTATTATTTTTATAATTGAAAAAAAGAGATCACAAAAAAAAACTATAATCATCATCATAATCACCATTATTATGAATTTCATCATATCAAAATTTGTTTTGTTGATTTATTTTGTTTTGTTGTAGCGGTTATAATGTTAGTAGTGTTGGCTAACAAGCTATTATTAACGGCTGCTGTTGATGCTATAGCAGTTGTTGTTGATTTTGTTGTTACAATTTGTTTATCAAGATCACGTTCTTTTAATCGTAATAAAAATTGTTCAATTTTTTGAAATGATGGTCGTTTTTCGGGTATTTCATGCCAACACATTTTCATTATTTGTAATATTTCCAATGGACACCATTGTTTTGGTTTATCTAAACGATATCCTTCACGAATTTTTTCAACTACTTCAGCATTTGTTAATTTACCATATGGTAGTTTACCTAGACTAAATACCTCTAATTAACGAAAAAGATTGAGAGTTAATTTTGAAATTTTGGTTGAAGAAAAATATTTACCCCAAGTTAAAATACCATAAGCCCAAACATCAGATTTAGAACTGAACCGAGTAAACCAAAGAACTTCAGGTGGTGCCCAACGAATTGGAAATTTTGTACCACCAGATGATGTATATTCATCATCAATCACATATCTAGATCAGTGATTTTTTTTAGAAATCATTTTTCAGCCAAATAAACAAAACAAACCTTGTTAAACCAAAATCGGCAACTTTAACCGTATTCGCATGTCCAACCAGACAATTTCGAGCAGCCAAATCACGATGAATATAATTATGACTTTCTAAATAAGCCATACCGCTTGCCACTTGTATACACATATTCAATAGAAAACGTATACGTTGTAATGAATCAAGAATTTTTTGTTCATTTTTACGTAAAAATGATAAAAGTGAGCCTTAAAAAAAATTTGATTTAAAAATGACCAAAATTATCAACAACTAACTAACTAAAAAACATACTATGTTTCATAAATTCAGCAACAATACAAATTGGTCGATGTTCAATACAAATACCATGTAATTTAACCAGATTTGGATGTTGTAATTTTGTCATTACTTTAGCTTCTTCAATAAAATCTCTTTCCGACATTGTACCTTCTTTCATCAGTTTAACAGCAACATCATATTTTCCTTTCCATTTTCCATGTCGTACAACACCAAATTGTCCAGAACCAAGTTCTTCCAGCAATTGTAAATCTGATACTTTAATCTCCCAAGATTTATCACGTGTTAAATCCGTTGTAAAACGTTTGGATGATGATGATTGTCGATTAATAACATTTGAATGATTATTTTTCGATAATATTTTACAATTATTATTCATAAACATTGAATTTAATATTGTTTGTTGATGTTGTAATATCATTGAATTTTTTTGCCATATAAAATTAGCACGACATGGTACTTGTGTTAATTTTGTAATTAAATGACCACGATGTTTTCGATAATGTTCAATCAGTGATTCAATCGATGCGAATTTCTCTTCCGAACGAATAAAATATACAACTGTATTATCCATATCATCCATATCATTCAAATCATCATCATTCAATGATGATAATGATGTTGATGATTCTCTTGAATCGGATAATAATAATCTAGGTAAATTTTCTTTTTGTATTAGATAATGTTTTACTTCGGTTGTTGATGATTTTTGACTGTTTCGACTTGGCAATAAAAAAAACAGAAAAAAAACCATTAAAATTAATTCAAGTTTCGTTTTTCATTCAAAAAAAACTTACTTTATTTTCAATACAGATAATGTAAGACATTTATTTTCACTGAATGATGGCCGTACAAGAAAACAACCATTCGGATTACATGGTTGTTGTAATAATTGTTCAGATGTTTCACGATCAATTGTAAAAAACCAAAGTTGTTGAAATAATGAAAACATTTGTATATCGATATGATCATTTGGCAATGATGGTGATGCTTGGAAAGATTTGGCCGATGTCAACATGAATGCAGATGATGCGGATGATTTTATCGGTTGATGATGATGTTCTTGTTCCATATTATCACATAAAGATTTATCATTTTTTATTACACTTTTATTATGATGATTATGATTATGATAATAATCATCATCAAATGAATATTTTGTTGTTGTTGTTTTTATTGTTTCAAGATAATTATTTGGTACAAGACCAATTTGACCATTATAATCACGTGCCATCCACCAAACACCGGATGAATCCAGAATTTCATATTGTTTACCTTTTTTTAATGCTAAATCTGTTTCATCATTAACCGGATAATAATCATGTTTGGCTATAACTAAAAATTTTGCTTTCTTTTTGATAAGTATCCAAAGAAAAAGAAAGACAAAAAACAAAAACCAAAAAAAGATTAAATGAATGAAAAAGTTCATCATCAGGTCATCAAAAATCATCACCCAAAAATATCATTATTCTGATTGCGTGCATGTTTTTTACTCCTAAAATATCAGATTTAAAAATTTTAAAAGATTTCTCCGGCGTGTGTCAACTATTATATCACAACAAATGTGATGTGATGTGTGGCTAAACATTTTTAAAAATAAAATTTTTTAACAACCACCATCCTCATTACATTTTTAAAAAAACACACAGTGATAAACACAGATAGAGAAAATTAATTATTTCATGCATGTGTGTTGTCTGCTGCCTATTTCGATATAAATGGCTCCCGGTTTTTGTTCACTTAAAAAAAAGGTCAAGTATCGCGTTGATCAAAACATTGAACACGAAAAAACGATAAGGGTTTATCATTACCGAAAATAGCTTTTTTTCGATAAAATCAAACATTTTTTCAGTTTTTAACTTTAACTTACTTTTGATTGATAAAATTCAGCATTCATTATTGATGATGATGATGATATTTCATCGTTTGATAATTCAGGTGATGATGATGATTGCAATGTAAGTGTTATCGGATCATCATTATCATCATCCACTACAGTCGATGTTACTATTGATGATGGATCAATTGATGATGATTCAATGGATGATTCATTAGATGATGATGATGATGATGAAGTGGAACTAAATGTTCCAAAATTGGATATTTTTCTTGATAAACTTTTCAGCATTTTTGCTCAAAGATCACTATGAAAAAACAATAGAAAAAAAGTAAAGTAATTATAGAATCAGGTAATTGAATTATGATTGATTGATTGATTATTGAATATTAATTAAGCAGAAAAATGCTACAAGAATGGTCCAACAACAACAAACAAATTAACTTTATTTGAAATGAATTTCTCTTGTTCGTTCGACCAATCAATGCCGAATTTCAAATTCCAAATCCACCACCACCACACACACATTAATCACCATTTTTAGCACTTGATGATTGTATATGGCGGTTTGTTGAAGGTGTTTTATTCAACAAGTTTTTTTTTTGAACAAATAACGACGACCACGACAAAGTTTCAGAAACAGAAACAAAAACGTATCATTTATTCATGAAATTCATGAAAGTTTTTTCTTTTCTTTTGAAAACAGAAATGAAAGAGAAAAAAATGTGGAAACGGCATAATGATAATGGCGTTTGTTTGTTTGTTTGTTAGAAATGATGTTCAATGACGACCATCAATGGATGGATGGATGGATCATCATTAACTATGTTCGGATGAATATCATTTTTTATAAATGAACGCACACACATGGATTTCGCTATTTACTTGACTTTTGATGATGATGATAATCATAGTTACAATTTATGGAATTATTATTTGAAAAAGGAAAGGGGAAAAATTTTTTTTTCCACAAAAGTCAATGTTTTTTTTTGTTTGATGAAAGACTAAAAATGGAATTTTTCAAAAAAAATTTGGATTTATTTTAGCCATCCATTCATTCATTTTGTTGTTGTTGTTGTTGTTGTGTAATACAAAACAAAATGACATTTGACATCCATGTCATGAATCACGAATCTTTTTTTCTCTGCATAGCAGATGATTCAATTATCATTGTTGTTATTATCATTTTTTCTAGCAATAACAGTTTTCGCTCTAATTCAAGGATAAATTTGGAGCAATTTTCGCTTTTTCAAACTAACAATAACGATCTGTTCAGTAGAAGAAAAACAAAAACAAAATTGGATACATGTCAAAATTTTTTCGGCAATTTGGATTTTTTTTTCAAAACAAAAGAATAAATCAGGCATAAAACCGTAACATTTATATAAATAATCATCGGTTTTTTTGTTCAAGAAATTCAAAACACGTGCCAATTATCATCGATTGATTGATTGATTGATTTGGTCCAGAAAAAAAAATTCAAAAGCTTGCCTTTCATCATAAATGTGGTAAATACCGAAAAACAAAAGATAAAAATTTCCTGTTGCTGCAAGCAAACAATGGGAAAAAAATTAACCCTTAATTATCATCATCGATAGTCATCGATAGTCAAAAAAAGAAAAATCCTCATCACAGCAGCCTTCTATGATGACAATTTCTTTTTCTTGTTTTTTGTTTTAAAAGTTACGTAAATCTTGATATCAAATAAAAAAACTTGACAATTTTTTTTTTGCTTCGTTCGTTCGTTCTCGGATTTTCGTCATCACAAATCTTCATCATTGTCACATTTTTTAGTGATCGATAATGATGATGATGATGATGATATTGCTCAAGCATATTTGATTTTGTTTCAATGTTATTTACATGATGACACTTACCTTATTTGAACGAATGAACGAATACACCGTAATTTGCTGATTTGTAGCTGTTTAGTTTTTCATTCAGGGGAAAAAAATCATTGTAAAGATGGCTGCATTTTTTCACAAAATTCAGTAGACTAAATGCAGATGTTTTGCAGGAGTTATTCATTCAACAGATGACCATTATCATTATTATTATTATTATCGGACAGCACGCGACATTCAAGCAATAAACAAAATAAAATGAAATGAAGAAGAACAAAATGTTAACGATGATGATGATCCTGGAACGATTTACATCACAAAATGTTGATTTCAAATGAAAAACAAAAAACAAAAACAAAAAAAAATCCTATTGTATTATGGCCATTGATGGAATGATGATCTGATTCAGCATGTTTCATCAAAAATCATTTTTTTTATTTGGCCGCATCCATTTCATTTTCAAATCAGTTTGATCTTGACGCTGTTGTATGTTGTATAATTTTACAGCAAAAAACAAAAATTGATAAGTTTCTCTTTAAAAGTTATATTTATACCGACTAGATTTGGCCTGAAAAAATCTCGTTTTTTCTTTTCTCCTTTTCTCTCATTTGCTCTGTCTCTTTTTTCAAAATTTTTCCCTTCTTTTCTTTCATTTTTTTTTTTTTTTGGTTCAGTTTCATCATCGTCTGAAATCCAAAATTCATTCAATATTAATTTTTCTGTGTTTTCTGTCGTTGAAAAAACAATCAATTAGAACGAAAAATTGGTGAGAAATATTTATGAAATAGATATTCAAACGAAAAAATAAGGTGAAAGGGAAGAAAGTCTTTTATGTTTCTTTTCATAGACTTTTTTTTGGCCCAAAAATCATTCATTGTCAATTGATTTTCAATGAATAATAAAAGGTTTTTTTTTTTTGATTAACAATTAGTGACAATCACAGATACACACACACACACACACATCATATTATCATTGTTTTGATCTATAGTAAAAGTCGATAGAAAAAAATCCATTCAATATTGGATACCTGAATTATCAATGGAAAAAACGAAAAAACGAAAGTGAATGTGCGATGTGCGTATTCAAAAAAAAAATGTGAAAATATTAAAGGGTCATTATCCATATAGAGACATTTTTGTTTTCCCCCCCTCCAACTGAACATCACGATAAAAAAGTTTCCGATCATTTTCAAGTTTTGAATATATAAAANTTTTTTTCCCGTTTATTATATCATCATGACATGATGCTTATGGAGTGATCATCATCATTTCACTCTCAACTCTCTCTCACATGTTCGTGCGCGAAAAAAAAACGACAAACAACGGTGATCACCGTTTTGTAATGCATTGATAATCAATTATTATTATCATTTCAACAACAACAACAACAACAACAAAAACCACACATATAAGTAATCGAGTATCATCAATTTTTTTTTGATTTAATTTCAATTTCCGGCTTTTTTTCTTCTTGTTATTCATATGTCAATTATGATTTTAAAGCAAAAAAGCAAACATTTCATTCATTCAATCATTCGTTTTACACATCCATCATATTCATAGGTAATTGATTACTTTCTCTTTCTTTCTTAATTCGAGCCATTTGTCGAATCATTGAATTTAACATTGTAACTGAATGAATGAATATTGTTAGCCACAATCAAATTTTCCAATAAAATTCATTGGAAAATTAAAGGGGCAATTAAAATACAAATTTTTTATTTATGGGAAAATTGATTATGATGATCATGTTTGGCTAACTATCAAGTCAATAAATGAAAACTTAATTTAATTTTCCACACGCAGACAAAAAAGAAAAAACATTTAATCATAATCATCAAAACAAAACAAAACAAAATGACCATGGTTCATCTAATCAATTTCCATCAATTTTTTGTTTGATAATTCGACCTTTTTGTTGTTGTTGTTGTTATCCTCCAATCAATGATGATAATGATATTCATTCATTTTCATAAATGAATGAAAATTGAGACCACAACATAGCATAATCCAAAATGATTGATTGAATGAAATTGAATCATCTATATTCAAATGAAAAGCTTTAAATTTAAAAAAGAAAAAAATGGACCAAAATGGATAAATGATGATGATGTTTAGTGTGATATTTAGATTTTCAATTTTTCAATGTCATTCGTGTGAAAAAAATGAAACAAAATTTTTCACTTAACAATACCTGTGTGTCCGAATAACAACAGAAAAAAAGAAGCTTAGTAAAAAAAAGAGTGGTATAAACATTGGATTTTTTATTTTTATTGAAAAATGAACATTTATTGTGCTTTTTTTATAAATATCATCATTCATTCATTCATTTCTACAGGTTAATCTATCAGGTTAATCCAAATTTTTTTTTCTTCTTTCAAAGTTCTTGACGTTTATAATCACGATCATCATCATAATCATAATCATCTTCATCATCATCTTGTGGATAATGATAATCCTGAAATAAATGTTGATTATAACGATTGAATAATGTTGATTCACCCCGACCACCACCACCACCACCACCACCACCATTCATATAATGAGCACTCATACGAATATTTTCACAACGTATTTTATATAATTCAAACATATTTTCAATATTATCTTCACGTTCAGCTTGATTAATTAAATGTTTTTTTGAATTTAATTTTTGTTGTAATGATTGTGTACGTTGTCGATTAATATTATGATATAATGGTGAATATTTTGGATTTTTAGCCATCTGTATTGAATCATAATTTGATTGTAAACAATGTATTTGTTTTAAATGATATGAACATGGTTTCCAATTTGATGATAAACGACAATAAACATTCATTGTATCATCGCTTGTTGTTAGATATAAACGTAAACGTTTCCATGTATTTTCATCTAATGATGTTCGATGATAACGACCACGACGACGACCACCACTATGACTTTTTGCAATATTTTTACCATATGGAAAATATATTCTACCTAATCCTAAACATTTTGTCCATTTTGTACGTAATTTTTTTGAAAATTGTTTACGTAATTCACGTGGTTCACATAATAATTTTAATTCTAAATCATTAAAATGAATGGATGGTTTTAGATTGATTTTTGGTGATTCGGTTGTAGCCATCCATACAAATCCTAAATTATCATTGATGATGCAGAAAATACCGAAAATGAATATAACATTCATCGTTGATTGAAAATTCAAAAATTTTTTAACACCTACACACTTGCACACACAAACAAATGGCAAAAAATGACTTTGACAATTCGGACTTTCAGAATTTCCGAACCGATCAAAAAAATCGAATCATCGAATGGTTACCATAGTTCCTTATATCGATAAATCAATTCGATCGATCGAAAAAAAACAAAAAAAAAAATTTCAACACACCAGAACAAGTGTTTATTCACTTCGATTTTTTGAAATATAAATTTTTTTTTATAAATATAATCAATAAAATAATGGTATTTTGTAATAAGAAAAGAAAAAAAGGCGACAAATATATGTTAGAGGTTTTTTTGTTTTTTGGTAAGAACATGCATAAATATACATTATATATGAAAAATTTAGATAAATAAAATAACAATTTTACATTCGTTTCATTGATTGATTGATTCAAAACTACACAGAATATGGAAAATATATAATCAAAGGTTGTAAATGTATTTTTGTTTTGTTATTGTAATAATTGGAATGAACCAAAAAAAAAACAATGAGAAAATAATGTAAAAATAAAAATATCTAATGTTGTGTTTCGGTTGTAAAAAGGAGGACAGAGAGAGAGAGGGAAGGAATCCATCAATTAATCTGATGATAAATTTGTTGATGATGATGGTAATGGTTCAAGAAAATCATTTGCAATAATACGATCAATATTAATATAAAGTTCATCTAATGAACAACCACCACAATTATTCATTAATAATTGATCAGCCACTATTTTACGGCGACCATTATTTTTTGAAGATTTACGACGATCTGATTGTTGTTGTTGTTTTTGTGAATTTATTGATGCATTAGCTGAATGTGTACGATTTTCTAATGAACGACGATATGATGATGATGATGTTGATGATGATTCATTTGGTTGTCGTTCAAAATTTGATTGATTACAATGTTGTTGTTGTTGTTGTTGAGTACTAGTTGTAAACATTGTATTTTGATTTGAACGTGATAAAACTGCAGCAAAAAATGGATGTAAATCATGAATCGATTCAATTGTTGACATTGTTAATAATGGACACATTGTTACATTTGATTGTGATATAATCGGTATAGAATCCTGGATTTGAATGGATTAAATTATTAGAAATTAATAAAATTTTTATAAAAATAAATTAATTACCGTTAAATAATTAAGTAAATGATTAATAAAAACAACATGTGGAATAAATGTTGCTTCATTATTATTATTATTATTACATTGATGATTTAATGTAATTGTAGATGAACAAGATAATGATGATGATGAATTCAAATTAGCTGGTAATGATTGTGGTGAATCAAATGTTATTGTTGAATTTAATGATATTGTTTCAGGTAATGATTTAAGATTTTCAACCATTCCTAATGATGATGTTGATGATGTTGTTTGTTGTTCAGATGATTGTTGACTTATATTCGATATAATTGAAGAATCTGTTTGTAAATTCAATACAATTGGTTCAGCAAATGGTGATATACCACCAAGCCAATCGATTGGTTGTCGTATATTTGTTGATAATGGAAATGAATCTGTATTAATGAATGCCCATTTATGTAATTGAAATTGTGGTAAAATATCTGATGGTAATAATAATGCCAGATCAAGTAATTTACAGGCATTTAAAAATAATTGTAATTGTGCTGTTGGTATTTTTGGTTCTAATTTCGATGTACGATGTTGTTGTAAAAAATTTGATGATGATGATGATCGATGTATTGATGATTGTGTTGCAAGAAAATCCGGTATATCCAGATGAATATTATATGGTGAAATTGTAGCCGAATCTGACCATTTTGGATCATTTCTATTCAAATGAAACAAAACAAACGAAAAAAAACTGTTAATAAAACCCAAATACAAATTTACAAAGAAAAAAAAAACATACTTTTGTTCATCACGAATAACTTTGAGTAAAGCTTGTTCAATGCTTAGAAATACTTGAAACTGCGCAACGAAATTGTAAAAAAATGTTAATATGAAATAACGGTTATTTAGTTTATTTTTTTTTTAAATACCCACCATTTCAGTATAAATAAATGGCCATAATGAAGCAAGATAATGTGGTGACATTCGTAATAATATAACACGAAATGCTAACAATACCTGTGATTGTAATATTGATTGTGAATGTAATTGTGATGATGATTGTGATTGTTGTTGCGATGTACGATGTATTTCAATTAATTTTTCCTGTATTTCGGCCATATATCTTTGATATTGATCTTTTTCCGAACAAAACAATATAAATGCTAAACGTTTAACTAATTGTGCACGTGGTTCTGATTCTTGATCTTTTGTTGATGATGGTACAAATATTTTAAATGAAACAGATGGACTTTGTGCAATTGACATACGTTGAAGAAATTCTCGAAATGTATTTTTATCATGTGTCATAAGATGATCGATAATTGTACGCCATGATTGTAAACATTCGGGTGGCATTTGAAAAAATGCCGGATCTAATAATAATTCTAATGAATCACGACGCCATGCTTTACGTGTATATTGATAACCAGAAAATGATGCTAATAAACGTGAACAAGCATCAAAACAAGGTAGATTATGTTGACTATGTGATTTAAGATATGGTATTACATATGACATTAAATTCGTTATTAATGGTATCATTTTTTCTTTTTCTTCACTTGCATAAACAACATCCAGTACTGGTGCTGCAAACTAATTAATTTTTAAAAAAATGTAAAAATGCAAAATTCAATGATTAATTAGTTAACTTTTTTTTAAAACAAATCCTACCTCTGCCATTGCATATAATGCTTTGATACAAAAATAACTATAAAATAAATTTTGTGATGTATTTGCTAAATCCTGATGATTTGATTGATTTGAACCGGTTGATAAATATGATAGATTAAAATTAAATAGACCAAATAAAAGACTATCCTGTTGTTGTTGTTGTTGCTGCTGTTGTTGTAATTCCGAAAGATGATGATAATCATCATGAGTTGGTGTCATTGTACGTTGTATTGTATTTGATGGACTACGATCCGGTTGAAATTGAACCGATGCAGATGATCGAAACAAACCACGTTTAAATGAAATATTTTGTTCATTATGTGAATTAGATAATGCTTCTTCAGTAATAGGTGTTGTTGATGCTGAACCTGAACGATGTGTAGCAGTTGGTGATGGTCGTCCAGTTTGTTGTTGTTGTTGTTGTTGATATTGTTGATGATGATGTCCAATTTGATGATCACTATTAACAGGCATTACTTCAAAATTACGACGAAATGACCAAAACCGTGATGGTAATAATCGACCACCAGCAACACTAATATTAGCATCAATTAAACGTTGTGTAACATCTTGTAATTCTTTTTGTGCACGACGATCTTCAACCGATGGTGATGCAACAACAAAATGATGCATTATTGCTAATAAATGTATATTAATTAATGGTTGAAAATTTATCTGCACTGAACTTGATGGTATAATTGGTTGTCGTTGTTTTGAACGTGGCCAAAATGTTTCATATGGTACTGATGCCGTAAGGTTAAGTGCAAAACTATCTTTAATCAATGCAATCATTGAACGACAAACTTTTAATAACAGTTCACCTGGACAAGTACGAATATATGCAAGAAAAAATTCCAATAATGATACTTCAATTAAAAATATATTATCAAATGGATTTGAAGTGAATGAATGTTGTGTAGATTCAACTTCAGTAGTAATCGATGATGCTGAACTTGTTGATGAATTTACTGTAGCAGCTGTTGTTGTTGTTGTCGATGTTGATGATGTTGAAATTGATGATGATGGTTTAAGTACAGCACGTACAATTTGTATTAAATATTCAAGATTAAGAATCGGTTGTAATGATGATATTAATTGGACTAGTTTTTGTTGTGCTGATGTTGCCGGTGTAATAACCATATCAATTGAATCGGCTAATAATGATGAATCATTTGTTGGATTACTATTATTAACAGGTAATGAACGATCACGAAGATCATGCCAAACACGTGCTATTGATTTCATTAATGATATACCATTTGATACGGCAACAATATTCAATATAGTAACAATTGCCTGACCTAACATCATTGATGAACCAGTTATATACCAACCAGTATAAATTGATGATGACCAACCAAGACTACAATTTGATTGTGAATAACGACAATTTTTTTCATTATTTCTATTATGATTTGTATCGATTGAATAAAATTGTCGTACATATGGATGGCAACATGCTGATTGTTGTTGATTAATCAATGATGTTGTTTGTAATGTTTGTCCATTATTATTAATTTCTTCACGTACAATCATTGTACACCAAACTTGAAATAATGCTGTCAGCACACGATTTAAACTTGTATAATCAAGTATACGTTGTCGGGTTAATGCTAAATTATTTGGTAATGTATCCTGTTGTGATATAACAATATCTGAATCTGTTGGATTTGATTGATCCGTTTGATCATTTGTACTAGTTGTAACAGTTGAACTATTTGAACCACCACTTGTAGTACCTGTTGTATTTGAACCAGATATAGGCATTACCATAAAATTATGTAATATAGATGATATTGCTTGTATAGCACCAGTTGATTCATTATTCGATACAGATGTTGCCATGTTACCATTTTGACTTAATGTCCATTGTTCATTAATAAAACTATTATTTATATCAAAATAACGACGACGATAACGACGATTAGATGTTAAACCAAATAATCTTGACCAATCATCTTGATTATCATTAAATAATTCAGTTAATACTGGTGCTAAAAGATCAAATTGATTACGATCTAATAAACAATATGAATAAATCATTGATATTCCTTGTAATGTTTGTGCAAAATGTTTATATACAAATGGTGGTAAATTTAATTGTGATGATACAAAACATGATGTACGAGCAAATTGTTCAATTTCTTTTGTTATTGAATCAATATTACGACATAATTGATTAACAGCCGTTAAAACTAAACGTGGCATAAAACGTCCAGCATAATGTAATGATGATTCAATAAATGATAACCATTCATTATGAATATGACGACGATAATTCTGTTGTAATGCATAATATAATGAACCATTTAATAATGTTTGTCCAAGTAATGGTAAATCAGGATCGAAATTCATTTCAGTTATTTCTTTTACTGATACACGTTGTACAATTGATGATGAATCTGAATGCGATAATGTTTTTGAATTTCCCGAAGTAACGTTCGTTGTATCTACCAAAGCAGATTGTATTCTTGATTCTAATATCATAACCTGTTCAATTAAATGTAATAAACATTTTTCAAATTCATCATGAAATCCATGTTGATTATTTGGATCATCATCATCATTATAATGATTATTATTAAATGTTTTTATATTATAAAAATCAAATTGATTTGTTGTTGTTGTTGATAAATTTTCCGGATAATCATTATAATCAAGTATTTCTTTTACAAATAAAATATCAGCTGGATTTAATTTTGTTGAATATTTTGTTTCTGGAAATAGATATGATGTTTCATGTCTTTTCGTGGTTATATTCGAAGGATTTGTTTTAAATTTTCTTTTTTGATTATCATTTTTACTACTATTAGTAGTAGTAGTATTTGGATTATTTGATGGAAATTTTTGCTGATAATGCCAAACAGATGTAGCCAAACATTGTAAAATATTACGTTGTACTTGACAACGTTGAAATAATTCTTTTAAATATTGTGCATATAATTTTGATTGATTAAAACATAATAATGATTCACTTGGTTGTCGTTTATGATGTTTATTACGATCATTATGATTACGATTTTCAATCATTTGACTTAGATTACGAAATATTTTCGATAATGATTGTGCGGCTAATAAACGTACACGTTGATTACCATAAATTGCTTCCAAATCAATACAATGATTTGAACGAATTTGTAAAAATAAATCATCCAATAAACCACCTTCCAATAAACCAGTTGTTCTTGTTAATGGTGATTTTTTTTGTTGTAATTTATTTGCTGTCATTGTTGATGCCATATCAGCTGGACAACTTGGATAATAACTACATAAATATTTTAAACATATTTTTATTATTAATTCTAATAATGTTATATTTTCATCATTAGATAATGTTGTTGTTGTTGTTGTTGCTGGTGTTGTTGATGATGATTCCAATATATGTTGTTTAGAACGAGATCTGGCACGATTTGTTCCAACGTTTGTTGCTGTATTGGTAGAATTCATATTATTCAAATTTATATTTGATTGATAATTTAATGATTGATTATGATTTGGATAAAAACCATCACCTTGTATTGAATTATGATGACGTTGATATAAAATTTTTATCTGTGCTGATCTAGTACCATCAAATATTGATGATGATGATTGGGAAATATTCTGACAATTTACAAATGGTGATGAATTATTATTGTTATTGGCGTTATTGTTATTATTGTTTGTAAATGATAAAATTGAACCATTAAATAATTTACTTGTTGACATTGAATATAAAACATGTGATGGCCATGTTTCAATCATTGCTATTATTGTATCTAATGCATATGTTGTACGTAATGAATCATACCGTCGTTCATATAATAATAAATGTTGATGCATTTCAGCAAAACGTAATTTTCTACCACTATTATTATTTACATTAACATCATCATTATTTATTAAATTTCGATATTTTATATTATCAAAATCATTTCCCATCATTACATTCGCTGTTGCTGAATTTGGTTGCGAATGATGATCATTATCGTTTGTTGGAATAATAAAATGTGATGATGCCATTCCGGGAAATTTTTTCTCCGTTCGTAATTTATTATCTGTCATCATAAATTCATCAATATCAACATCTTGATCAATTTCAGATACAATACGATCCATTAATTCTTGAACAATTTGTTCAATACAATCTGAATCCGTAGTTTGAATTGTTGATGATAATTTTTCCATTGGATTTGTAATAATTTTCATTGTTACATGTTCACCATACGTTGATGTTGATGATACATTTGAAGTTGGTGAACGTGAATGTGGTTGTGGTGGTGGTGGTGGACGTCTTCGTACATGATAAATAACATTACCATTAGTAGGTGTTATTGCATAGATTTTTGATTCTTCTTCTTGATTTGTTGCTGTTGTTTCTAATGTTGAATCATTCGATATTTCTTGCCTGGTTGAATAATTTCTTAATAGATTTTCATTATCAATATTTATAGCCGATGGACTTTGATTATTTGATCGTGTATAACGTAAAATATTAACATTTTTTATGGATAATCTTGCTGTATTTGGATGTAAAAGTATAAATAATAATGGTTCCAATATACGACCAATATCACATTCTAAATAATGATGATCATGATGACTACCACCACCAGCAGCAGCATTAGCATTATTCAATAGATAATGATTATGAAATTCTGAAGTAACACCAAAACCATTTGGTGATGTAAACATTAGATTTTTTGTACCAAATAAATTCGATTGTTTTATACAACGTAATAACCAATCCGATGATATTGAATATTGATCACTTAAATTTCTACGTTGTGTTAATGCATCCAACATTATAAATAATGGTCGATCAAAATGACGTTTTAATGTTGAACATAATGCAATTGGTGATATTGGACATGTAATACGTAATAATCGATGTAAATCTTGAAAATTATTAACAATTGCCATATTCATTAATGATTGATAATGATTTGAATCCATACCGGTTGCTATTTCAATTTCAAGTTGTGAAATTAATTTTGAACTTGATGAATTTTCATTTATTGTTAATGGATCTATATCACTGTAGCTAATACCACCACCACCACCACCAGCACCAATAACACCAGCACCACTAACACTACTACCGGTAGTATTCATAAGACCAATATCAATATCACCATCAGATGCTGATCTTGCTGCTGATGCTAAAGCATTAACAACTAATGCTAAACGTTCAGATATAAAACGTATATCACGAATAATTGAAAACATTAAGGCAAATTTATTTCTTGCACGATGTACAATATTCATATTATTTGGTATTTGACGTGATTCTTGTTCTAATGATAATTGAAAACGTGGTTGATGATGTCCATCCATAAAAGATCGATATGATGATGATCCATTGATTGATGATGATTGTACAGTAGCCATAGTATTAGTACCTCCATTATTTTGTCCACCAATCATTTCATCACAAATAACAGCTTCACAAATAGATTCATCATTTGAAATTGAATGTAATTGTTGTAATAATGCACATGTTGAATGATGTAAAACAGAATCTTCTGGTGATAAATTTGACCAAAGACCACTTGCAACTAAACGAAACCATGTTGTTGATTCATAAACAAATTGTAACATTTTTGGATGTATTAATGGAAAAAAATTTAATCTTCTAGCGACAAATGTTCGAGGAAACAGATCAATAATTGTCATATCAACATAAGATGGCATTGGAAATTCATCATTACCAAATGATATTGGTTTTGGATATATTTCTGGTTGTGATACAATATAAGCACGTGTCATTGTCATTAAATCTAATATTGTAGCTAATGATGTATATGATACATGACGTAATTGACAACATGATAATGATTTTTGATCCATCATTGTTGTTGTTGTTGTTATTTTTGATTTTCGTTTTATTTTCGTTTGTTGTTCATTATTATTATTATTATTATGCCAATGTGTACATGAACCAATACCATTCGATGTTAATGTCATTAAATATATAAACCAACGAATATTATCAAATGATTTACTAATCATTTGTTGCGATTGTTGTTTATTATTATCAATAATAAATTGTTGTAAATTTATTTGATTTTTTTGTTCACGTTTTTTAAATAAAAATGCTGGTGATGATAATAATGGTATTGTACCAATTTCAATTAATAATTCACAAAATAATTGATATAATGGTAATAATTGACAATTTATTATAATTTCCGGATAATAACATTGATGACGATTTATTAAAAATCTATCAATAATATTCTGTATATTTAATTGATCATTTGATATATTTCGTAACATTATACGACGAAAATAATCTAAAATTGCTTCAGATGTTTCAATTTTATTTGATGATTTTTTTACCAAAATTTTTTCAATAAATGTAGCAAAAAATTTTAATATTCCATCAACAACTAATTCAATTTGAAAATCATCATTAAATTCACATTGATCAATTCCATTATCAACATCATTATTATAATAGCCATTATCATTATCATTTGAATCGGTTGGTTGTTCAATTTCACCCTGTTCACCATTATCATCATCTTCATCATCTTCTTCAGTTTCTTCACGTACCAATTCTAGTTGGGTATTCGATGGTTTTGCTGAATTTGATGATACCGATGGTGATGATCTTGTTTTTAAATGTGTTGATCGTATATTTGGTTGTTGTTGTTTTTGTTGTCCATATGTTTCAAACCATGTTGTTATAGTTGGTTTTCGTGATTGTTGAACATTATTTGTATCATTAATAAAATCTTTATTTTTCATAACATTCAATTCACGACGATATCTTCTTGTGAATGTTTGCATTATTGCTGGTTTAAGTTTTGAACATAATGCCAGACATAATTCAATTGATGCACGTAAATCAATAGGTGTAAATGATTTAACACTTTGACAAATTAATTGTAAAACATGATCCAAAAAATGTATAAGAAATGTATAATTTGCCGTACCAACTTCTAATGGTTCTAATGCTGAACAACGATTCATTGATACTGATATTGAATTAACAAATAATGAACTTGTACTATGATTTGTTATATCAATACGTGTTGTTGGTGGTGATGATAATTCATCAATATTATTATTATTATTAAATTTTTGACCACCACCACCATTATTATCAATATTATTATCATGTGGATATGGTTTTGAATCACCTAATAAAAATCTAGCCAATGTACATGATTCTAATATTGTAACCCATGCAGTACCAACTGGTTGTACTGGACTTGAAAATTTTGTTATTTTTCCACATTGACGACAACGATTCATTAATGATATTAATAATTTTGTTTTTAATGTTGATTTTTTTATTCCATTTTCATTATCATCATCAACATCGGATTCTTCTTCTTCTTCCTCTTCCTCCTCAACATCCAAATCTTCATCATTATCATTAAAATTTTTAAATTCAGGTGAACATAACCGTGGTGATGCATAAGTTGATGATGATGATGATGATAATGTTGATGAACTACAACAACTAGTTGTTGATGATCCAATGGAATAATTATTAGCTAATGATTCTAATAATCTTGTTGGTACTAAATTATGTATCCATAATAATGATTGTAATATTGTATCGTTACCAACATCATTATTATCTTCTTCTTCTTCATTATCATCATCATCATTGAATGAATCTTCTGCTTCATCTTCATCTTCGCTAGAATCTTCTTCATGATCATCATGAAGAATATGTAAAATTTTTCGTAATGCTATCGATTCATCAATTGCAGCATTAAATGTAAACGCCAATTGATTCCAAATAAATTCAACACCAATATTTGTAAATAATAGATGCATAACACGATCTAATTCTTGTAATAATTCTTGCCGCTGTTCTTTTGATAATTGTTGATAATATGGATTCCAATAATAATGTTGATGTGGTAATATAAATACTGAATCATCATCATCAACATTATCAAATTCTTTATTATTATTGTTGTTGTTTTGATTATTTTGATTGCTTGCGTTGTTATTTGCGTTATTAGTGCTGCTGCTGCTATTGTTAGCCGATTGATAACGCATATCCTTAATAATAGGTGTTTGATTTTGATTTTTTGTATCAATAATATTGATATTTTTTTGATCACGTTTTTTACGACCAAAACGATTTACTAATAATTTTCCATCATTAATCGTATCACCGGGACGTATTTTCAAACGTAATGGCCTGGTCATAAATGTTTTCATTACTTGTTTCATATTACGATTGGAATTTGTTTCACTACCACTATCATTCGATTTATTTTGTCCTAATGGAAATTGTAATTTAATAAATTTTTGTTTAACATTATGACGAATATTTTGAAATAGATTACGATTATCACGTTTTGATACTGGTAAATCATCATCATCTGAAAATATATCTAAACTAGGTGAATTTGTTTCATGTATATTTAATTTCATTGTTGATTCTTTACCAATGTTATTATCATTATCATCATTATTTTTATTCGAAATCAATCCATCAGCATTCAATTGTTGCTTTGATCTATTTGCATCCTCAACTTCATCCTCCTCCTCATCATCATCATGATCAATCAATAATGCATCATCAATATCATCCAATGCTTCAGAATTTATTTCACCAACATCTTCATCGTCGTCATCATCATCATTGAAAACTTGTTCATTTGATTTGATAACATCGTTATTATTATCAATAATATTTTCATCAAAGATTTTTGTTTGTTGTTGTTGTTGTTGATTTTCATTAACATTTGTGACATTATTATTATTATTATTGGATAATTTACAAACTGGTTCATTTGATTTTGTTGAAATTTTTTTCTTTAATTTTTTCTTTTTACGTTTATTAATAATTTTACGTTTCTTTTTCTTGTTTATATTCAGTGAAGTTTGTTTTGTCGATGAAATTGGTGATGATGATGATAATGTTGTTGTTGTTGTTGATGAAATATTATCAATAAAATCATTGGTTTGTCTATCCATTTGATTTTTATTACCACCACTATGATGACTAGTATTGATATTTTCTTCATCATCATTATCATCATCCGCATCATTATCATCATTGATTTCTGTATTTGGTGGTGGTACTTCAGTTGTTAATAATTCAAATTCATGATATAAACCACTGTTTTTTAAAAAAATGGAAAAAATTAGAAAAAATTATACAAAAAAAAAAGAAAATTCAAAAAAAACCAACCGTAAAATATCGATACATAATTTATCCAAAATAGGTATAGCAATATCACGTTGATCCATTATACAGATTAATAAACGATAAGGCCAAAATGTTGACATTGATGAATAAAGTGATTGATATAAACCGGTCATTGATGAAATTGATCTTGATTGATTACTATGATGATGATGATGTAATGAATTATTACGATATAAATGACGAGAATTTGTATGTAATGATAATGTTGATGATGATGGTGATGATGATGATGATGATGATATTATTGTTTGTGTTCTATATGTATCATTATTACCCATTGTAGGTATAAAAGGCATTGTAAATGTTATAAATGAATTTGTTAATGCTGATGGTGGTAAAAATGATGTTATTGCTGTTAATGGATTTGTTATACAACGTTTAAATGCTTCGTTAACCAGATCTTTTGAATATGTATCATAATAGATTAATTTTTTTCTTTTTGCTTTTGTTTCCGCAGATGTTGATGTGGATGTTGTTGATGATAAATTATTATCATAATTATTATTATTATTCGAACCGATTGTTGATGATGTTCCAAGCAATGTTGTTCCAGTTGTTCCGGTTGCTGTTGATCCAGATTTTGTTGTTGTAACAAAACTACCGATATTATTATTGTTTGATGTGGATTGATTTGCATTATTATTATTATTTGAATTACCACCACCACCACCGGCCATACTAGCACCAGAATCACCACCAAAAAACCAAGCCGAAAGACGACGATTTAATGAAAAATCACGACGTAATAATACAGTTAATGCTGCTGTTATAATAACAATCATTTCCGAACGTTTAAAATATTTTCTTGACATAACAGGTTGTTGTGGTGTTGGTTGTAATGGTGGTGGTGGTAATTGTGGTGTTATTGATTGTGAAGGTGTATTTGAAGATTTATTTGGTGATATATTGAGATTATTCGGTTGTTGTTGTTGTTGTTGTGAAAGCATTGTTTGTTCAACTTGATTCATTAGATTAAAATGAATTGGAAATATTGTAATTAAAAGATCTAATATTGCACGTTGTACAAGTATATGTTGATCAAGTAATGCCGAACAAATTGCTTGTACTAATGTACGCATACAAAGACCAAGAACATGTGCCTGTTCTTTTAATGATCGTTTTTTATTAAAATGCATTAAAACAAATGTTATTGCTTGTAAACGTATTGATGAATTTTGTAATATACAACGCCATAATGCACCATAAAAATAAGCAATACCAACACCATCGGCTACTTTTAATAATAAACCATCAGTACGTTGAAATGAATCCGATACTTCTTCATAACAAGGTAATATACTGATAAGAAAACCATCCAATGCTAATTGAAGACGTTCACCTAATGGTAATAGATGACGATCATAAAGATCTAATACAGATGGCCTGACATTAATAGCAGCATAACCTAATAATGGAAATAATCCATTTGAATATATTGTTAAATCGGCTAATAATTGTTCCGGTCCAAGTATATTAAATATAAGATCATATGTTTCTAATGCTTTCAAATGAACACCACTTGGTAATAATGGATGCATACATTGTGCTAAACGTTGTCCAACAATAAAACGACGTGGTATTTTACCAAATTTACTATTATTATTCAATACCTATTCAAAATTGATTAATATTAAATTAATTTCGATTTAGATTTCATCCATCAAATACTTACCCTATTCAATTTACCCAATGCATTAACTAAATCAGCCCATTCCGAAGTATATTCAAAACTTTTTAATGCTTTATCAATTGCTAATGCATATTGTCTATATTTATTTTCTTGTAACATTAATTCTTGATCACTATGATCATAGAATGCTAAACTTGCTAAACCATTATTATTACCATTATTATTATTATTATTAATTATATTTAAATTATTTGCACTTGTTGTTGGTGTTATCATTGTTATTGTTGGTGTTATTGATGATGTTGGTGTTATACCAGCAGTAATATTATTATCCGTACCGGGCATTCTAATATTGCTTGCCATTTAAAACAAAACAAACCAGAAAAAATATAGTTCCACTTGATAATCGTATAAATCAAATCATAATCGTTGATTTTGTAAATTTTGATTTTTGATGGAATGATGATGATGATGATGATCACAATATGATGAATATATATCACTTTATCGATATGATTTTTGATAACTAAAAGAGAGAAGAAAAGATCAAAAATGAAACAAAAAACAAGAAAAAAAAATTATTCACTTTTAATAATTGTCAATATTGAAAATGATCAACAAAAGAAATCAATGTTCAAGGACAATCAAACATGCAATATCAATATCAATATCATTCATAACAAAAATATGCATGTTATGCGAATGAAATTATAGTTTTTTTTTCAATATTTTTGTTTAAAAAAAAATTTAATTGAAAAATTTCATCAATAATAATAATAATGATGATATTGATGATGAATGACGAATGATAAAATTATTAGTTTCACATTTTTTTTCCCCATTATCATCATTATCATTCATTTATCAATGTTTTCTTCTTCAAGGTAAAGTTCCGCATTCATATATGGTGTTTGGTGTGTGTTTGTGTGTGTGGTGTACATATCAATATCAGTTTTTTCTTTGATTGACAAACAAACAAAAAAAAATCCCAAGTGAATATTGATTTCAATTTCTTTTTTTTTTCATTTCTAAATTTTAATTAAATCTAGCAATCAAGATAATGATAGAAACAAGTGGGGTAAAATTTCTTAGGAAAAAAAACTACAATCCAAATGGATTTATCAAATCATCACCCAAGTAACTAAAAAGAATCCAATTTGAAAATGATTAATATCAAATCAGAGAGAGAGAGAGAGAGAGAGAGAGAGAGAGAGAGAGAGC